AAAAAAAAAAAAAAGAAAGTAAAAAAAAAGAAAAGCGCACAATAAGAAAAAGTTTATGAGGTTTGATCCACAGTTTCTTTTTTTTTTTTTAGAGACAGAGTCTTACCTTATAGTCCTCCATAGAGTGTTGTGGCGTCACCATTCACAGCAACCTCCAACTCCTGGGCTTAAGTGATTCTCTTGCCTCAGTCTCCCAAGTAGCTGGGACAACAGGTGCCTGCCAGAATGCCCAGCTATTTTTTTTGTTGCAGTTTGGCTGGGGCTGGGTTCAAACTCACCACCGACACCCTACCCACTGAGCCATAGGCACCGCCCTAATCCATAGTGTCTAAGAAAACATATTTATATCATTATTTACTATGCCAGACATTTATATCATAATACTATACATCTACACACAGGAAGAAATAAATGGAAAGACAGACGTCATCAGATATATGCACTATTAATGTATTTATTTCCTTCTATGTACCTTCTTGCAATAAAATATATATAATAAGCAACACGTTTTTATTTGCCTGGATGGATTTAGTGTACCTTGCAGGAGAAGGGCTGTGTTCCTCCCTCCATGGGGATAGCATGTCTGCACAAACCCCTGAGGAGAAGGGTTTCCGGCAAAGAAAGACCAAGTGAGAACCTGGACCCAAGGGACAGGAGCTGAACCATGACAGGCAATGGATGGAATGCTCTAGATTTCAAAATACTTTCTTGTCAGTTCCTCATTTTTCCATTAAGAAATAAAAAACAGCACAGAAATGGTTTATAGCAAGAAGATGAGCCTCTCTGAGCCAGGAGCAGGAAGGACTAGCAAGCAGGTGGCAGAGAGGATGATCCTGCTTTTTCTGCTAGGGAGACACTTCCCAGTGGAAGCACAACACGCCAGGAAGGGAGCACATCAGCCACACTGGGGGGAGGGGGGTAAGAACATGTCTGCCCTCCTCATTATACAGAGAGGAAACAGAGCCCCGAAGAGGGAAAGCAACTTGTCCAAGGTCACACCAAAAGAGTGACCAGAAATAAGCCATAAGAATCACTGGAGGGGCTTGGTGCCCGTAGCAGTGGTTATGGCACCAGCCACATACACTGAAGGTGGCAGATTCGAACTGGCCGGGGCCAGCTAAACAATAGCTAAACAACTGCAACCAAAAAATAGCCAGGCGTTATGGCAGGCACCTGTAGTCCCAGCTACTTGGGAGGCTGAGACAAGAGAATAGCTTAAGCACAAGAGTTTGAGGTTGTTGTGACCTGTGATGCCACAGCACTCTATCAAGGGCAACATAGTGAGACGCTGTCAAAAAAAAAGAATTCATGGGAGGAAACCAGTTTTCTCATTTCTTTGTGCTTCTCCCCAGCTCAGCCTAGCAAAGAACAGTTAGAATCACAGCAGGGAGTGACCAGACAGTGTGGGGGTGCTAGGATGAAAGCCACAACCAGGAGATTGGGAGCAACACTAGAAAGAAACACTGAGTGAGCATGGATGTTGTGTAGCCCAGAGTTGCCCAAACCCAGCCACACTTAGCACCAGCTAGAATCTTTTAGACCCTACCCCAGACCTATGGCCTCAGAATTTTGGGGATGGGACCCAGTCATCAGGGGTTTTTTTTTTTTTTT